CAAGAACAAGCGATTAATTTAAAAGGTCGGCGCCGAGCGATAAGTATGAGATGCTGATGGAAATAATTTAATGAGATTACAACAGCGGTCGTGCAGATAATGATACCGTTGTTTAGAGTTCCATTTGACACCATAACACTCCATTAAAGCGATAGCTCATTCTTTGATCAATGGCTCGAGAAGAAACTGCGACTCTTTAATATTCACTGATGACATACTTTACTTTGCGAAATACGATTTTGAATTTTTAGTTCATTGGTTAATATATTGCGCGCACATTTCCGTATTTGGACGATTGTTGCATATTTTCAAGACTCATCAGAACAAATGCGCCAAGTTTTAAGAAGCGATCGATTAAAAATGCTTTTCATTTGAAATATTGTTATATGCATTCACATTTAAAAGTGCTACGCACTTGTTTTGTGTTCATACAAAAGGTGCGATTTTTAACACTCCTCTATATTCTCGCGCGATACAAAGTATAAACGATTCCGATTTGGCATGCAGATTAGTACGGATGAGCACGCTTGCCATGGCTCGACGAGAAAGATAATGCAGCGTAATTTTTGTGAATTTTTCCCCTTGCAAATAATTATACCATCATAACAACGCGACGTGCCGGGCAATATCAGCGCATCATCCTTTTCAAACAGGGGTGCGTTAATCTCGATTTTTCAGACCTTTTACGTATAAAAAGGGTAGCTATGTGCATACATGTTATGATGCGATACACACAAATATTTTAAATATTTTGCAGTAGCAAATTTTTATCTATAATTCCTTCCATAAATCTGAAGTCAATTTTTCTTTAGTATTTGTCATCAGTTTTTCTTTTTGGACCTAAAATATTATTTTGCAATATGTACTCACATACACGTTACAAACTTGTGATACAATATGCAAATATCATAGCAATAAGTCTATAACAATAAGCAAGATAAAAAATTTCAACTTTTAAAGTCTTTTATTTCAAGATTAATTCTAAGTTATACAATAAATCTCTGAAGACAAAGAACGACTGACTCAAGTCATTTTATATTACGTCGGTCAGTACAAAAATTCGGAGAAAAACGAATCGATTACGCAAAAAAAGAAAGGTCATAGATGCGCATGGCGCCCCTTACAGTCACAACATGAACGTGACACGGTTGATTTTCGTGGATGATACGATCTTCAAAGCCTTTACTTTCACTCGGCTCAGCACGAAACGACGTGATTTACAAACGCCAGAAAAAAACTCTTCGACTTTTGTGCTAAGAGTTTTTTTATTCTTTCGTGGCTCAGGTAAAATTTATAGCCTCTACGACGGCAAGAAAAAACGTGTAACACGTAACAAAGAGTGCAGTGAAAGTTTAACGCCAGCAAGTGGACCTGTATGATGAGGAGTTAAAAATTAACAGTTAAAAGTCAAGATCATAGAGGAAAAGTAGTCTAAAAAATATGAAACAATCTGCGAGAAGAATTGATATAATAAAATTTGTAAGTACATCCCTCTCTTAAGTTTCCTCTCGCGCACCGTAGAACGGAATATTTATTATACACAACGCTGAGGAAATATTTTTGTACAATTTTTTATTATTACAAGACTGATAATTTTAATTTCAGCTACGTCACCAATTAATGTCCAGCGAATAGGGCGAGAACTATTCTCCCGCAAGAGCGCAAAGATCCAGAGAAAGGTGTAAGATATCTGCCTGCGGCCGTTGCGAATCGAATATTTGGGAATCGACCGGCCGCGGTTCTGAGGATTTGACTGGTGTGATGGCTTTGGCACGCGACATAACGGGGTACGCGCCGCCGCCGTATGACCATAAAATAAACGTTTGGGGTGGCGCAGGCAGAGGCCAAACCTGGCAGCGCATAAACACTTATATAACGGCAATTAAACTGCTTTTAAGGCCCATAAAACTGCAGTTTCAATAATCTCTGTGACAACACGATTCTGACCTGTCTCCGGAAGCACGGCTTCTTTCGGGAAACGTCAAAAGCGGTCACGCCGCGCTCACGATGCGACTGTAAAAGTTTCGTTCGTTGCCTCCCCCTCCCTCAGCCTGCCCTCCCTCCGGCTCGAATTTTTCAATCGACTTGGACCTCGAGTCTACTTTTACGACGCGCTCTGCAATCAACCCCCGATTTCGCACTTTTCGATACGCGGATGTTACGTTCTCTCACATGTAAACTTTACTCTCTTCGCAACAATGCTTTTCGAGTGTCGAGCGCGAAATAACTTCCACTCTTTAGAAAGCGACGTGGCACGTATATTAATCCAGGAGATGAAGCTAAAATGGAAAACTGGAGAGAGCCGAGTTGCGCGGCATAAAACAGAACTCCGGGTGAAATTTTTCCGGATGAAATTTCGATTGGAGCCATTCTTTTTCCAGCCAATACCGGATACCTGCTGGATGCTGATGCGAACCAGGCGGGGGAGGAAACGTATACGCGTGAGGGACGAGAAGAGCCAACGCGATCGGAGGCGGCAAAAGAGAGGTCCAGGTAGGGGAGGCAGGGACGATGAAATGGGATAATACCGACGCTGCAGGACGCGGCAGCCATCATCGAATGCTAATGAGGGGTTGGCGGCTTTTGGGGCGGTGGACTCTACCCGTACAGTGGTGCGCCGTTGCTGGTGCGGATCGGCCTGATTATAAATTATACATTATCTCCTGCTAGTCCCCGTGTACACACCGTAATCCAGCTAGACATCCACAGGCCTCTGAACTCCAATGTCAGAGTATGTTCGCAGTTAGTGTGCTGAAGATAGATTAGAAATTTGTACATTGTTCTAGGCTCGCCGACAATTTCGCTTGCTTATCACATTTGAAATCGCATTACGCGATATTACTTTAACTTCAGGCTACATTTTTTCACGTATCATCGTATAAAAGTTACGCAATGACGTAAGTAATGACGGAGTGATTTCAATTTTATGATCATTTTTACGAATATTTTTATGTAGCACTCATGAAAATGTTAATATCAGTTAGATTTGTTGTGTGTATGTATTTGATATTTTAGGCTTTCGCGGTTGCATATTAGGTTTGGTTTCCGGGTTTGAGCCGCGTGGATTTCTCTTTATTTGATTCCGACGTTTCGCGAACATTTCAGTTCGCTTCATCAGGGAGGAATTATCCGATGCCGAGTTGCTCCTGAGAGGTCTTCCTTTATATGGTTTGTATGTATATTGTTGGATCACGAGTCATCCGATTCAACCGTGGAACCATTGGAAATTATCGCAATTCATCTCAGTTCGATATAGGCAATACAAATTGTAAAGCTTAATTTGTGGAGTCCGAAAATCAAAAGGATTACTGATACCACCCAGTAGATCGATGTTTCTCAACGACATATTGGGACCATGTATTATGCACGGAGAAAATAGCGAGTCAAAGAGAAACAGTACAAATTATAGCCGAATCTGCCTATATTTCTAAACAGTATGAATTTTAACCGGAGATATGTGGACGACCTTGTGGAACGAGTCACTCATTTGCCATTTCCAGAGATCCGAGAGCGCAATACATTCACGCATTAATCGCATATTAAATCAATGGAAATGGTGAAGAGTATGTCTGTGAATGAAAAAATGGGAATTTAAGTTGACTTTGAAATGCATATGATAAGCGCGACAGCGTTATAAAAGGCTGAAACTGTTTGTCAAATTGTAATGAAGTATTTTATATCTTTAACCTTTGTCTATTTTTTAAATCTGAGACATATCGAAACATCATAGTGACGATAAAATTAAACAATTCACAAATTTAAATGAATGTAATTTGATTTTTAAGACAATATTTTAATAAAGATTAATTTCTGAAGAAATGAATGTATTTTATATAATCAAATAGCGTCGTTTAAGTTAAAAAATAATGAGCCCTTATACGCAATGCTTATACCTAAAACATTTGCTTTAGCTTTGATATTAAACAAAATATTTCAAGGAAGATACGTTCAATTATCTTATAATGATACAAAATTATTTGAGGTTAAGTTTTGTATGTAACAAAATTCTGACGTTACATTGTATAACTTATTAATTTGTATAATTATTCAATGGTCTTTTCATATGCCACAAGTAATTTGTGAATTTTTTAATAAAATATTATAAAAGAGTTTGACGTTATATTTAAACGTTATATTTCATTTCAAATAATTCACAAAATACGTGCGCAAGCAAATTGTCACAAAAATCAGCAGGAATATCCGGATGGGTAGCCTTATTACAACGAACGCGTGTCCTCACTCATTGGGTAACAATATATGTACGTACAAACAGATAAATTCTTCGTTTGAATGTATCGGAATGTAATTTCCTACCGGACTAAGCGTTTGCCACTGCAGCTAGAAACTTCGTACGGTGATCGCCAATGCCTATTTGAAATTATGATCCACCCGGTGTAAACAAACCATCGCGATAAAAGCCAGCGGCTGAAGTTTTAATTTTATCTAATCGGTATTTACTGCGCTATTGTGGGCTCATAAGTGGTTGTATAAAAGATAGTCACGGGGATTATTCGCGACTAACATTATCACGGTGACGACAGGTGTAGTTGCCCATATACATGTCCTTCTTGCATGCACAACTAACATAAATGAATAGGGTAAGGATTTAACGCGTGCAACCCGATGGCACGATTCACATAAGTGACTCAGACGTTGACCTTGACTTTCCTTAGCGCGCCTAATATTACATCATCTTCATCGGAGATTAATGACCCAAACTTTCGTCAATTCGGCGATTGATCGACAGCGCCGTGATTGGACGATCGTTAAGAGAAAGGCTCTCTCGAAATGAGAAGATACCGCCTATTTGCAATTTCAATTTTGAAAGTGTATAATGCGTGATTGCTACATTAAAGACCATTTTTTAACGTACTAAAAATTTTTGTCTTTTTATGTATTTGTAGAAATATGGAATATATATATGTACAAACCAATATATTTACGCATATAATGGCAGTAATAATGTAAAAGCAAACTAATTAGTAATAATTTGTACTCACCGCAGACCACTCTGTCAAATGGACTCATCCAATCTGGAAAATAAATTGGTTAATTAAAACAGGAGAATGAAACTGTTGAGTGTTTCGGGAATTATGTATAATCTTTCTTTTTTTTTTTTTCTTATAGAATCGCGGTAGATCAGATGGTAATACATAATGAAAATCGGCTTTATTGCTAGTTGTTTATAACTGTAAAACTACGCATGCACTTAAGCTTATGATGCAGCGAGATTTCTAAAGCATATGTCTTATATAATAAACACGCGAGATAAGTTATGATTTAAAAACGTGTTACATTGAAATGCACTTAAGGATTTTGGAAGAATCTTGGAAGTTTCAAGAATAAGACCATGTGACTCTTGCACAATAATTTTAGTCGATGCAAAGTTTTCAGTAAACAATGATATGAAAAAAATATTAAATTTAAAGACTAATAATAGGTTTAATGAGAAACTAGTTTAGTGTGTCAATAATTTACGAAACACACACACACACACACACGTCTGTGTGAAAATAACACAAGCAATTTTAAGGATTTCACCGACGTTTCAAATTGAAAACCGATAATTTCTAAAAATATCTAGGAAAATATCGAGAAATATTTTAATTAATTAAAATTGGTTTTATCATCGGTGGTATACGTAAAGAAAAAAATATATATGCGTCAATTTAGTGATAAAATAATATATTGAAGAGCCACTAAATTTATATTTCGCGCTATAAAAAAACTGCTGTATTAAAAAATATCACTGCACACACACACGTAGTCTCTTGTTACAATTATGATTAAATTAAAATATAGTAAACTGGTTGATATTAAAAGAGGAACGATAATTGTCATAAAGAAAAAATGTAGATTTATGAGTTGCCGACGTGATTTTGATCCCACTACGGCCTCGCGAACTAAAATCGTCACACTATGCTGTCGGCTGAATCATTCACCTCACCCCTAAGCCATAAAGTTATTCTTACGCACTCATAAAATAGATAAGGAACTTATTGACGCATGAATAGACATATGACAGTATGAGAACTCAAAAAATCGTAAACTCTTCAGAGAAGCTGGAAATATATCAAATAAAAAAGCGGAAATAAATAAAATTAAGGACATTAACCACCATGATAAAAATAACGACTCGCTTGGGTGCTTTTTAAGACACATAAAAGTATCATTGAATTATATGAGATAAAAAATAATATGAGAAAAGAGACTCAAATACATGAGATGTCTGTGAAAAATTATTATATCGATATTCAAAAGCATTACGATTTAAATAGAACGGTACAATTCAATATAATAAACTTAATTACTTCTTAATTACTTAAATAGTATTTCAATGTTTTCCTCAGCCTTATATTCGACTATTCCAGCCGTTAATTATTCGACTATGATCTGCGGAGTAATCGAATTTTCTATGCCCGTTATTGCATTATACTGTTCTATTTAAATTATAATGCTTTTGGATATCAATATAATAATATGTTCCTATGTTTATATATAAATATATATTATATATATAACATAATTTTTATAATTCTTTTTCTCTCTCTCTTCTCTCTCTCTTTCTCCTCTCTCTTAAAAATTGATAAGCGACCGTAAGCCCCGATCGAGTTATTCATCTTTTCTAGAGACGCGCAATAAATAATTATCAAGAGACGCGATAGCAAAATATACAGGCCCGAGACGGTGAGATTGAATCGCATCGCGAATCAATACTATCGTCACGCGCACATTAGGAATTATACGAAAGCGCTCATGATTTGCCGCAAGCGTAATGATATCTCGCGAGTTAATAAAAAGAGAAGATGAAAATAAAGACAAAAATACGGCAAGTTAGCGCGTTAACGCTAAGCGTTATTATAACGTGTTGATAGCGGAACGGGCTTCGGAAAATAATTTGCATATTCAATGATTACAACTTAATCGTAATATATTCCATGATTGCCTGTCCTCGGTATGCCTCGCATTATATTACTATGCGCTAACGCGAGTGCATTGGCACGAGCGAAAGATCGTATGAACGAGTCGCCGAGAAATTTCGTTGTAAACTGCAGTGACACGGTAAACAACTTGACTGGTTGAAAAGCGCGCGCGCGCGCGAGCGTGTTAATTCGTTCGTCGCGTGAATTCAGCTAAGTCGCTGCCGTGTCTAATGTGACAAATACGGCGATTGTTATAATTGAGCCTTACGCCTCGAATTTCAACGGTGCACCGTGTGGGATAAATCAAATCGTGACTGTAAAATGCTCAGGTCGCCCACGGGAGAATCGCGAGACACCAAGCTTCAAGGGGCCCCTCCCGTCCGCCTTCCCCCGTCTACCCTTTTCATGCAAACTACTCCAAGTCATTTCGTACGTGCTGCTACAATGTCACAACAATATCAAACGAGGAAAATGCAATGAGAAAAGGTTCCGTTTCGCGGTACTGCCGCGAGACATGCAATTTTCAGCGTCAACGTCAAGAGCGCAGCAACAACAGCAACGGCACTCGGCCGTTGCTCGCCGCAAATATACACGATAAATACCGTCGGTACTTCGACCAGGCTAACACGTCGGCAAACAAAGACTCTTCGGCAGTGCACATGCACGATTATGCACGACACTGGAGAAGCTTCGAGTTTTCTGCGCTGCAAAAGCATCCTGGACCTTAATCCCTCTCTCGTGTAAGACGTATTCTCCAATAATTGTCCATTATGCATGTAATATGCGCATTAATGAATTGTGTTTCATTGTAGTTAGGAGACTGCAAAATACTGTACGTTGCAATGTTATATTTGATCTGGTAGTATTGATTTTGTAAGAACCATCTGGCCTACCCCCTCTCCCCTTGAATATAAGTACTGAGCAATGTTTAACACATTTCTCTACCATGTGAAGGCTTATGGGAACCCATGCTATTTAACAAATTTAATCGTACTTATAGTATGAGTGAAAGAAAACGTCTCAGCAGCAATTGCGCATGTATAATTTTGTATTTTTCTTACTTTTTGCAACACAACAGTAATATTATCGAATTTGTAGCAAATAAATTATGGAATAATATTCTTATGATATGAAAAGCCTATGAAAATAGTTTAACGATAATTTGCGATAATATGAAAAACTGTACCTGCTTATATTTCATATTATATCATCTCTACATTAAACAATTACAATACATAAGAATCTAATATTTCCTGTCGCCATCATGCTGAAAGTTTCATGCAAACTGCGATTATTAAGACGTATTTTCTTCATTGCATGCAATAAAAAGGAATAAAAATATAAAAAACATTCAATCATCAAACTGCAGAGGAACTGACACTGAATAATGCTAAGCAATTTATCACGTAGAAACAATTAATTACGTAACCGAGATGAATGTTTAGTAATATATAGATGCACGCACTGTATATATATGTACACACATACACATATACACAAGAGCGAGCGCGCGTGCGTGCTTGTGCATATGTGCGTGCGTGCGCGTGCGTGTAATGTGTGTGTATACATACATATATTAATTAAATACATAGTGAAATATAGTACCTGTATTTAATTTATAAGTGGTATAACGATGCAATTTATATATATAGATAGTAACGACAAAACTGTTTAAGGAAAAACCAATCCAACGCTAAATTATCAAACTCAAAGAAATTAAACGCGCATCATGAAGCCTTAATCTATCTGCAGTGAAGCTGCTGAAAATTTCTTCGTATTACTCATAATACTCGAATAACACGGTGACAATGAAATGACAATTTTTAGCGAAGCGTGTTTCATCTCGCGCATACACGCTGTTAATGAACCGAGACGGCTAGCAACAACAATATGGAAGATTGCTTATATATATGTATATATCCAAGAGCATCCAAGAGGAACTCACCGGTGATGGACATCCATGGATACCGAGGTATGTCCGAAATCCCAGGCTGGCCGGTGGTAGGTTGTTGGCAAGATGTCAAAGGATCGACGACGGCCGATGCGGCAGCCGCTTGATGGTAGAATTGCGCCGCCGCTGCCATGGAAGCCGACGCGGCCGACACGGCTGACGATGCGGATGCGGACGAGACGAGGCTACCGGGCGTAGCACCGTTTTGATGATGATGACCGAGGGTATAGTTAACCATAGGATCGGCCGATGTGGGTGCTACATTGCCGGTGAGACTGGCCGTGTAACGGCAGGACTTGTCGCCGGCAGTCGCGGCGTCCACGGCAGCGGCGGCGGCCAGGGCAGCGCTGGACGCCGCCGAGGAGCCGAAAGCTGGCACCATGCTGGACGTGGCGCCGAACGCGGCGGCGGCGACTGCCTGTTGTTGCTGATGATGATGATGCGCCGCTGCGGCGGATACGTAAGGATACATGCTGGACGTCGTGCGTGCCGCCGGTGACGTCGAAGCGGAGCTTCCCGAGTGCTGGGGGCTCGAGCCAGTTGGACTCGGTGAATTGTGCTGCTGTGCGTAGTTAACCGCCGCGGCCGCCACTGCAGCCGCGGATAAACTTGATTCTAGGCTAGCGGTGGCCGGACTCGTGGTGCACGCCTGAATGGTACCTGGATTCGCGCTTGAGAATAACTGCTGATGATGGAATTGCTGGTGGTACTTAGGTAGCATACTATCAATTATGAATTTCGAACTCATATCGCCTGTCGGTGCCGATGTGGACCCGATGCCGATGACACGCCCGGACCAGACGACCGGGACAAGTGCCTCAACACCGACACCGCGACGAAACGTCCACCGCCTGCTGCTTCTTCATTGCATAATCCATCTCGGCACGGATTACCATGTACACTTGATCTGTCGATCAGCAGGATCCTCGTCGCAAGAAACCCGCGCACTATTTCTCGCTTGTCGCTTGCTCCAGAATCTTTCTCTCTTTCTCTTGCCTTCCTTCTGGTCGACGTCGTCGCTGCCCGTGTTCACTACCTGCTCCTCTTATCAGCGAACAATGATCCACTTTTACTGCCACTTACGCAACTCAGCACATTATCACAATAACAATACCGAACGCGGCGGGATGCGGCCGCCAGAGACGACTGGCCACGAATCACCGACTGTCCGCGATGGCAAATGACATATCCCTCCTCTCCAAGTTAAGATCCACGTATCGCAGATCTTCACCTTGAAGATTCAGATTCACGCTCGACGTAATCGTGTGCCTCCCGATTACAAATCCATCCGAATCAGAACGAGAATCGGTGATAAAGCGGTGGGTCCTTTCTCGATCGGGCCCACCCCGGACGATCCCAGTCGTGGTCCCAGTTTGGAAATTGGGCTGCGACGGCGAACCCGGCGACGGCACGAGGAGAGAGAAGAGAAGAGCGTGGCCCCTGTCAGGTGTTAGAAGCCGTTTCTTGCGTACTTCTCGGATAGTCGACGAATCCTTTATGGGCCATGCATGAAGGTACTATAGCCCCCTATCCCGAACGCCGCGTACTACAACCCACGGCCAGCTAAATGTAACCCCTTACAATAATGGCGCCGCTTGTCTCTCCGTTCTGTTCCCCCCTCTCTTCTACGAGCCTGGAGCGCGCCGGGGCACCAGCTGGTAAACAGAGCCGTCCAATCGTAGCGTAGCCTTACCCAAGATGGACCAATCACAGGCATGCTAGGCGCGCCAAGATGAATGGGTCTCTCTCTCTCTGTGGATTTTCCTCTCGCTCTGACCTACACTTTCGGCTATACTTCGAACTCTCTTCCCTCACTTGGGTTTCAGGCACCTCTCGCCTGCTCACTTGCGTGTACCCGGCGTGCTCCGTCCGTCCGACGGTCCGTACGTTCGCCTTTTGCCAGTGCAGTCGAGCTCGCCACGTTGCCTTATACCCTGCAACGTTCCAACGTCTCACACGGTATTTTCTATCCTCCTCGGAGTTACTTCGCTTATCTCTTTCTCTCTTTCTCTCTCACTCTCTTTCTCCCTCCCTCTTTCTCTTTCTTTCACTCACTCCTTCTCTCCCTCTCTTTCTCTCTCTTTCTCTCTCACTCGAATGCAGTCTTTTTATCTCGTTCTTAAGCTACCTCCATCCTACTCTTCGAGATTTTTTCTTCCTTTCAATTCCTGTCAAAGCAACACTTTTTTCCGAATTTTTGTTTGTACGCATTACTCGCTTCTTATTTGATCTGCGTTGGTTTGATTTTAATAGAAAATCATGATTAGATCTTGAAATATTTTTTTAATTATATTTCTTCCATTCATAATTAAAAAATTCATTTTCTTTGTAATGGTGCTATTTTAAATCTGGCGGAGTAATATTTATTTATCGTAATAACATTTCTTCTCATTGTTTTTTGTATGATATAATTCCAAGAAGGATAATTTATTGTCTCAAATAATGCCCCGTAGCTTGTTATCCTTTCTATGTATCCATCCGTTTAATTTTCTTCTATATTTTATGTTCCATTCATGTTAATTCGAGATTGTTTATACATCAAGCACAAATATATCATTAATGAAAAATTCAATTTGGAGATATTAATTTGGCAGAATTTTTATTGAGTCGAACAAGTTAATCGCCAAACTCTTCAAAAGTAATTCATTTCATGATAAATGAGATTACGTCATGCTTCATATCTTGCGTCATATCTCATCCTTTGTTTCGTTATTCCTCGCAGATCAAGATCATGAACAGCCGTCCCGAGTGTTATTATGAGACACATTAAGGTAAATCTTAAACAATCGCCTTTTCCGTTCCGAATTTCGAATCTGTCAAAAGCACAGGAAGACGTTCGACTCACATCTCTTGTTCCTCCTCTCCTCCGCCGTTGCTTTCGCGGAAACCAGCGCGATTCAGCCACCGTCGACTCGTCGACTCTTGGAAACCACTGAACTCGTCCCGGTTGGGTTATCGTGGCGGCATTCCTACGTGAGAATGGTGGCGCGGCGATGGGGCGAGAAGTGACGCGGCTTGCGTGAGGGAGAAGGGGCGGCTTACGTCGGGGGCAAGTGCCAGGAGGAGGGTGTACCGAGAATATCGCACGCGAGAGTAGTAAGGTGCAAGGGGCGGGAAAAACTTCCAGCCTGGATCCCGGCGTTTCTTACGATGGACAGCCCATTTTACACACCCTATTTTATTGACACACTTTGTGCGCTTGAAACACTCTTATCTAATGGGGAAAATATTTGCTTGCATTGCCCTAATCATCACTCTTTTTTCATTAATTTGTTAGAAGAAACAATATGACATCATGTGGATCCACACATGTGGATTAAAAAAAAAACGATAAAAATTATGGATTCAAAAACTTTGTGCGAATTTAATATTCGGGGCATAATTGCAAATATACATTAAACTAATGATTTAAGAGACTATACATATAAATATAAAAATAATGAATTTTTGCCATTTTTATATGCATTTTTGAAAAATATAAAATTTGTAAGACATAAATTGTTATGTTAACTTTATAAAAATTCACTGAACTATAGCAACTTAAACGTCCCAAATCTGACATGCGAGCAGGCAGCTACATGGATCTCCCGTGTAACGTTGCTGTTGCGGTGGTGTTACTGGTACAACAATAGTTCTATGTAAGAAAAGTTCTATGTAAGAAAATTATACGAAGTGAGTAAACTATGTTCTTTAAATCGAAGAACTTGATTGTCTCTTCTTAACGATCAGTATTATGTTATTAAAATCATTACTTGTATTCGAATATGCAATCGTTGAAATTTATTGATATGTGTATTAGATCTTCGATAAAAAATAACAAATCTTACTTGCAAATAATAAGTAATTGAAGAATGAGTATCGGCAGCAATGCCGATCAATTCTATGAACAGAAATGTCTGTTAGCAACGACTGCAATTTTATCAACTGCTATCAACTTTATGTGAATTATTGAAACAGAACTTACCTGTTATAGAATCAATTACACTCATATAAATTTGCACAAATCTTACATAAATTGAATAAGGTAATTATATTGTTTACGAAGCTATCTAGGAGCAGTATAACATCAAGTACTTACCACACGAAAGATTGGGAGAATGATCGTATATAACCGCTTCCTGTAATCATAAATTCAGATAATAATTATTTTTATATTATGCTTTTTTTGCGTGAAAGAGAGTAAGACAGTTCACTAAATATATGCATTAATATTTAACAACATAATCAATTATTTTTTTATACAACTTTAAAAAAATTTTTTTTATAACAACTTGCATTTATATTCCACACATTTAATGTTAGATTACAATGTTTGCAACTTTATCATACCGAATGATTTATGTTATGCCTGGGGAATTTCATTTTCAAACGTAACATTTCTCGTAAACATTTATGCATGACACAATTATGAATATGCTACTGATTTTCAACGAATGTTGAAAAGAACGTTCCGAAGTCATGAAAGTAAATAAGGTGTATACGAACAATAAATTACAGTTCAGTGCATTAGCAATTATTATTGATGGCGTTTGTAGCTAGCACAGCCATGTCGATCGTTACCGATACGAATTGTTACATCCATGAACAAGCTTCCATCGAGTATTCCAAACACGTATATCTGTCCATAGAGATGTGTTGCACCACACATCATCGTGCATACGTATTCTACTCATGCGATAGATCGCTTATGAAAAGTTAATATGCAATAGTACTGTTTCTTGCAATAACTTTCATACTTCCGCTTTATTACCGCAACCATATACATATGTTGCTACTTTTATTACTGAATTCCACAACGACTAATCCACACGTACCATGTGGAAACAACGTGACTACCAGCAATTATTTACTTTATTCGTGATATTAAAAGATTATAAAACGGTAAGTTTTTACCGATCCTAGCAGATCTTAATCTTTTAATTTCGTTACAAATAAGTAACTCCTGAAAATTTGCTGAATTCACATAACTTTGTGGAATTATTCATATTGTTCAAGATACAAACATGTTAAGGATTCTCGAAATCCTAACCTAACCTAACCAGTATGAACCGACCGATACGAATTA